GGGGGCGACCGCCCGCCGCCTTTTTCTCGCGCCCCAGGCCCTCAAGCGCTGTCGCGATAGCGGCGCGAAGCGGAAGTGGGGTAGGGGGGGTGGGCCCGGGGTTGTTCTGACGACGGGGGTCTGGACTCAAGGGAGGCAGCGGCGTCGGCCGATGGCTCCGCGGAAGCTGACCGGGCCCGGTCCAAGATGGCGGCGGCGGAGGAGGCCTCCCCTCCTCTCTTCTCGTCTCTTGCGCCGGCCCGCCCCCGAGCCCCGAATATAGGCCCGTCATTGCTCCTGCCGTGCGTCGCTCTTGGCCGTAGGGCGCATCTTATTGGTTCTTGGCATTGATGTGGCCGACCCCCTCTCGTGGATTGGGAGATAGCTGCAAGGCGCGGCGTTCGATTGGCCTCCCGCGCAGCCTGCTAGGATTGGCTAGGTTTTCTTCCCTGCTCCACCTTCTCCTCCCGCCTCGGGGCACAACACGCCAGCGCGAGGAACCGCGTGTCAATCAGGAGGACTGTGCGGCGCTGATTGGATGTATCCGCCCCCTCTCTCCTAAAGCTATTGGTTAGAAGGCGGAGCTAGGCTGACCAGGGGCGGGAAGTCGTCCGTCAAGTTTGGAGCCGTTCTTAATTGGTTACCAGGGTTAGTCTTCTCTCAAACCATTGGCTGGTCCTGAAAGTGGGTGGGGAAAATGGAGGAAGGCATGGAGAGTGGGAGTTCGAGCTGGTTATCTAAAGAGAAAGGACAGCTGCCTTCAAAGCAGGGGGCCGCATCTGCCAATCAAAATAACCACGGGGCCAAGGAGGCGGAGCTGGGCAACAGGGCCCACCCCTTTCTCTTCTCTGGCCCTGACTGTTGTCGTTCATCTCTGCTTGGCTAATAGCGCGGCGAGGGGGCGGCACCTGCGCACAGAGCAAGCAACCCAGTCTGCAGCCTCCAGGTGCGCCCTGCGGAGCATCCCGTGCATCTCTTGAGCCTCTGCCGGGGTCGCCGCGTCCTGCGACTGAGCCGAGTCTTCTTTTTCCAAGCTCCCCTGCTTGGCACTTATCTGAACCTCAGAATTTGCCCCCAAGTCCCTAGCACGGTGCAGAGCGGAGTTGCTGGGGAGCTCTGGGCGTGCAGTTTCCTGCTTCGCTACGCCCAGGACCTGGGAAAGCCCACTCGTTCCTTGTCTGGGTTCCTGGACGCAGCGCGGCCAGGAACCCGGTTCCTTCGGATTTGTTTTTGCAAGTTCGCTGTCGTTTCCTATTTACTTCAATACCCCCTGTGGAGTTTAGCACTCAGTAGGTGGTTGCCGAAGGAACAGGGGAACGAACGCGAGCAATGATTTATGCTTGAAGCTTTCTGGGCCCTGCGCTTGCGCGAACCGGCTCACGCAGTGTAAGCCACATTTGTCCTCTAAGTGGAGGAAAATAAGGCAACTGCAAGACAAGCAAACTTGAGCACGTACGAGCGATTCTGCACCACCCCATTGGAATTACACGAGGTCGCCAGGGGTGGGACACACCTGTAATCCCAGCGCTCAGGAGGCCAAATCAGGAGGATTTCAAGTTCAAAGCCAACCTGGGCTACATAATGAGACATCTCAGGAATAAAAGAAAAAAAGTGGACTGAGATTCAGGAGCCCCAACAAGCTCCCAGTTGTGCTAATGGTGCACACGCACGCTTGGAGCCCGGAGGGCCCAAAGTAGGGTTCTCAGGTGTGGCTGCTTAGTAAAATCACCTGGGAAGTTTAAAACAGATGGCCGGGCACCACTCTAGCGCCCTCTGCTGGGGCTGCCCGGGCATCAGTGACGTTCAGAGGTGCGGCTAGGCTTACCTAAAAGGCGGCCTGACAGCTTTTTCTAGGGCCCTAGATCAGCGGTGCACATCACCTGAGGGGTGTCTGAATCGCGGGCTTGGGCCCCATCCTAACAAAACGGGATCGCGCCAGGGCCAGCAACTATGTTTTAACAGACATTCCAGGGAGTTGTGAAACCCTGCACTGTTTGAGACAGGGTCCTGCTATGTAGCCCAGGCTGGCTCAGAACTCCCAATCTTCCTGCCTCAGCCACCTGAGCACGGGGAGTATAGGCGTGTGCCAAGCCCATCTGGAAGCCTTGAGTTTTGAGGTTCACTGTGGGGGACCTGGCCAAACTGATTAAACTGCAGGACAAAAGCACAGGCTGTCTGAGGAGCAAGTAGTTAAAATGCGGGGCAAAAGCACGCAAATCATTAATGTGAGAGGCAGAAAGCACCCAGGCTCTGTGGGGAGTGGACGTTTAGACTGGGGCAAAAGCAGACTGAGAATCAAATGGTTAAACAAGAAGTTTAAGGCCAGGTGTGGTGGCGCACGCCTGTGATCCCAGCACTCGGAGGCTGAGGCAGGAGGATCGCTGGGAATTCAAAACCAGCCTGGGCTACGTAGTGAGTTCCAGGTCAGTCTCAACTACATAGCGAGACCCTGTCTCTTAAAAAAAAAACAAACACAAGTTTAGAAAGTAAACCGTGTGTCCGGCCACTGTCCTTCCTCTTTCCCAAGAAAAACTGCCCAGCCTGGAGACAGCTCTTGGCCACACTGCTTTTCCCCACCTGCCTCCCTTACCCTGAGATTCTAAATGGAAGCCAGAGGGTTCTGGCTTGGGGTTCTCTCTTCTCCGAGCCTCCCTGATGGCTGGGCGCTCTCGGGGGAGAAACAGCTCCTCTGGGCCTCTTGGCGACTGAACTAAATCTCGTCTCTGGGTAAACTTTCTATCCTCCCCTCCGCCAGAGCTGTGAGTCGCGGCTCCCCATGCCACCCCACGGCGGGAGTCAGCCTACGAGTTTGCCCTGACTGTTAAAGACACCAAGGCAACTTGGAAGAGGACACCGGGAGACTCCTGCCTTAGGGGATGAAGAGCCCCAGGCTGCGGTGCTCCCGGTTCTCAGACTCACGAGGAAGGAAGCAAGCAAGCATGCGATCTGGGGCTCAGCAGAGTCCGCCAGGCTCTGTCACAGACTGCACCAGAGTGGATTTTCTTTAGCCAGACCTCCACCGCAGCCTACTCTCCCTGAAACTGGCTGGCACCAGTGTGCTGGACACAGCCCGCGGGAGGGACAGCTTGCTATTTCCTCTGGTGTCTCAAGGACAGGCGAGCCCAGGCCCCGGCCTCACACTTAAGAGTCCCACACCCTTCCATCTCCAGCGGACACCAGGCCGGCTCAACGGGGAAGGGGATTCCGAACAGACTCGTGGGCCCAGAACACATCCCTGGCAAATAGGCAGAGGAACCGAAGTGGTCACTCTCGACAGCGTGGACCTAAAGGCTGGGGGGCCCTTTGGCTGGGGCAGAGACTCCAGGATGCAGACTGTGAGGGTGGACGAGAGGCTGAGGTCCCGAGGCAGAGCCCTGGGCTGTGGGAGGGACTGGGATCCAGGGACACAGAGCGGTAGTGACTGTTGTAGGCCCAGAGAAAGGAGCAGAAAAGAGGAGACTTCAAACACAGGACCTGGGAAGCGAGGGAGAGCGTCCTCTCAGGTAACCGAGTAGCCTGGAGGAGGGTGTGGCGCTCACCTGTGATCCCAGCCCTGGGAGGCTGAGGCAGGAGGATCACCATGAGCGCAACACCAGCCTGGGCTACACAGTGAGCTCAGGCCAGCCTGAACTGTGGCGAGACCCCGTAAGCTTCCAACGGCACCACGGTCCCGACACCTCCCAGATAGCCACACTGCTCCCTCAGGGGCTGCCCTTCCCCCGCCCCGTGAGGGCCCCTCTGGTTGGGCCCATCGTGCACGTATGCATGCCCGCTACCTGAGGGGCCAGGACGATCGGTGGCAGCTATGCTACCGGAGAGGGGCTTGGCCAGGAGAACCGTCGCTCTCCAGAGCTGAGGGAGGGATGCGGCCAGGAGCTCTGGCTCCCCCAGGTACCTGACAACAGCCACTCCCCACGACAGACCTCCGTGCTGTGCATTTAATGGTCCTCTTTCCACAAAGAGCATCTCCTTTCCCATGTAATGTAAAAAAGCTGCACCGGACTCCTGCTTTGCCCAGTGGGGCAGGCTCGGTCCTGGGCGCCTGTGTGGGCCTCCTGGTCTGGGCCGATGGCAGAGGCGGGCGGCTCTCTCTGCCGGAACTCCTGACCCGAACACAGTCCTCCAGCAGGGCACGGGGCCCAAAAGTCGCTGTGGCGGGCGGACTGCGGACCCCAGCCTCAGGTGGACGTGATGCCGCTCTTCTCACTCTTGACCTTGAGGAACTCGGCCATGCTGGAGAAGTACTTCTGGTTGGCCTCAGCCACCTTCTTCTCCGCTGCCTGTGGGTTCACGATCTCCAGACCCTGGGTGGAAAGAGAACCGCGGACCCGTCAGGGTCCCCAACCACGGTGGACACGAGGACCATCTGTGGCCTCCGCATGCGTAGACTCAAGGTTCGGACCTGGGGTGATGGTGGGAAGCGAGGGGCCGGGGTTTTCACCAAGTCCCAGGTGACGAGCAGACTCTCTCCCACCGGCCTCTCCAGGGGAGACGGTCCCAGCGAGAGGTGAGGGGCTTGTCACCGCACAGGTGGCAGCACCACAGGCCGTCCTAATGGCCAGCACTGGTTTTCATTTTTTCCATTACTATAGATCAAACCCAAGGCTTTTGCAATGAGCAATGAGCTCCATCCCCATCCACAACCCTTGTTATTTTTTGAGCCAGGGTCTCATTAAGTTGCCTGGGCTGGGCTGGAACTTGCGATCCTCCTGCCTCAGCCTCCGAGTGCTGGGAGTACAGGTGTGTGCACCGCTTGCATGTTTTCACTGTGGCAGTTCTTGCTGAAGCCTCCTTGGTTGCTTTAAAACCAAGACCCCCATCCTCTTCCCTCTCCTTTCTCCCTGAATTCACGGTGCACTGCACCCAGCTGTGCCCACAGAAGGCAGAAGGCAGGGCTGCCTCTCTCTCTTCATTGCAGGGCCCAGCACAGTGCTGGGGCCAGAGTGACATCAAGACACTTGCTGGAGAGCGAGTGACATAAGGGCCACACTGGCCTTACTCCGGTAAACTGAGGCACGCTAGGTACAGGCACCCAGCCCCACACTGCTGGTCGCTGCTGGGCTGGGACCTGACCTCAAGGGTGACGCCCAGTCCACTGGCTGGGAGCCTCATCTCCAGTGCAGCCCAGCTCAGGGTGCAGCCTGCCTGCAGCCAGGTATCTGGGCCCAGTACCTGGAGGGGGGTGAAAGCCACGCTGGAGGCAGTGCCCGAGGAGCGGTCCCGGATGGTGGATTTCCCGCCGTACACCACGCTCTGCTTCTGCAGGGTCCGCTGTGGGAGGGAGGGGGCTGTGACCCGGCTCACCCAGCGCCAGGCCCCAGCGACTCAGCCCTCAGCCCTGCCGCCTGCCATACCTGCAACGTCTTGGAGATCCTGGCCTTGGTGGCCTCGTTCACCTGTGTCTGCCGCACGCGCCCGCTGCCTGACTTGCCGAGGTGGCCCAGGCTGAAGCCCAGGTCCTCCTGGTAGGCGTCCTCCTCGATCTGGGGACAGGGGCCCTTGGTCTCTGGGCCTCATCTCATGGCGCCCAGGCAAGCCGGCCCGCTGAGCACCCCACCCCACCCCACCATGGGCCTGGGGCTGCCCAAGCTTCGAGGAGAATCCGTCCCTCCCAGACAGGGCCTGGACGTAGGTGGGCAGAGCTGTGGGGTGTGCAGGGCAGGGAGGGCCGGCTGGAGCCTGGGGGAGCCGGTCGGGCGCCCTGCATGGCATTTGGCAGGCGGCCTGGCGCTGACCTCTCCGAAGCTCATGCGGTTGGCCTGCTTCCGGATCTCCGTCAGTCCCAGCCGCTCCTTCATCTTGCGGTACCTGGGGCCGAGGGGTCAGCTCAGCGCTGCCCGGCCGGGCCGCCCCATCCCCTCCCCTGCCCCCAGGTCCCAGGCTCCTCACCTGCGTCCCCCTCGCTTCTTCCGCTGCCCGTCGAGGGGTGCAGGCAGGGGCTTCACCTGCTTCACAGGCGGCGGCTCCTGCCACTTGTCAAACTTGCGCTCGATCTCGTCCTTCAGTTCGTAGCCCACCTGGAGGGCAGCGCGGCGCTGTGGCCATTCACGGGGTGCCCGCCCAGCCTGGAGCAGAGCGTCCTCGGGCCTGCGAGCCTGAGCTCTGCCCTGCAGGAGCCCTGGGCTCCCACCTGCTTCCGCCGCCGTTGGCAGGTGCCTCCCCTGCGCCCCACCTCACCAGGGACAGGACTGCCCGCCTCACCTTCCCCTCCGAGCTCTCGTGGAAACTGTCCACGCGGGCAGCCAGTGTGCATTTGGCGGCCACCAGCCTGGCCGCCTTCCGCCGCAGATCCTGGAGCAATGGGGAGGGGCGAGTCTGACCCGAGACTGTGACCGCTGCTCCTGGGGCTGGCCGACCCCAGACCCAGGAAGGAGGCCACCCCCAGCCCGTCTCGAGAGGCCCGTTTTTTTTTTTTTTTTTTTTTTTTTTTTTTTTTTTTTTGGTTTTTTGAGACAGGGTCGCACTATGTAGTTGAGACTGACCTAGTATTTTTTTTCACTTTGAGGCAGGGTCTTGCTAAATTGACCAAGTGAGCCTAAACCTGGGATCCTCCTGCCTCAGCCTCTCAGAGTGCTGGGATTAAGGTTAGTACCACCCGATCGGGTGGGAGAAGCCCACTCTTCCCTGCCCGTCTACAGTTAGGCGGAGGAGGGGATGCCCCCATGCACAGGCCCAGGAGCCTGAAAAGTGGAGCCCTCAGCCCCAGGCGGCAGCCTGTGTGACTGCATGAGCCCCGACTTGCCCGCCTCAGTTTCCTCATCTGAGAAATGGGCAGCAGGGTGAGAGGGGGCGTGGGCCAGAGCTGAGGGAAAACTAGGGCTGTGAGGATTCAGTGAAATCAGTGTTTCCAAAACCTCAGCCTCCACTCCCAGCCTCTGCCCAGCACCTGAGCCCTTAGTGTCACCACAGCAACCGGACTAAGGAATTCTCACCATTGCACAGCAGGGTTTCCTCTCAGCAAAAACTAGGGGTGAGGATTCAGTGAAATCAGTGTTTCCAAACCCTCAGCCTCCACTCCCAGCCTCTGCCCAGCACCTGAGCCCTTAGTGTCACCACAGCAACCGGACTAAGGAATTCTCACCATTGCACAGCAGGGTTTCCTCTCAGCCCGGGGAATTGGCTCGGTTCCACCGCCTACCTCACAAGCGCAAGGACCCGAGTTCGATCCCCGGTACCAAAATAAAGAAGTGAATAAATAAATAAAAGACCTGCCCACGTATGGCTGAATTCACGGTGTCTGCCATTCCAGAAAGGTGGCTCTTGTGTTGGGAAACACCAGGAGGTGCGTGTGAAACCCACTGTCACGAGCAGTAGGCCGCCGGCGAGCGGAACGGGGAAGGGAGGCAGCGGCCAGGCGGGCTCACCGGGGGCAGGGACTGCACGATGTCACTGTGGTAGATGTAGCCGGTGTGGGGCAGCACGGAGGTGGAGGAGAAGCCGGACAGCGTCTTGCGCTGGGCCCCGAGCAGCATGATGTTGCAGGCGGGCATCTTGGAAAGGTTAGTCAGGCCGCCGGCCACCCCTGCAGCGGGAGACGGATAGGGAGATGCAGGCTGGCACGGGGCTCCCTGTGCTGCGAGCCTTGGTATGGGCTCTGGCCCTGCCTGCGAGGGCCGAAGTAGCTCATTTCACTGTGGGGCAGATGTGCAGGGGCCCAGAGAGGGGCAGCAACTAGCCTGGCGGTGCACAGCCAAGAGGAAGCTGACCCCAAAGTCCACACTGCCCATGCTTAGGGTTTTACCTATGGGTGGCCGTCTTTGAGACAGTCTACGTAGTCCAGTCGGCCTGGAACTCACTGCATAGCCTAGGCCAGCCTTGAACTCACAGCAATCCTCCTGCCTCAGCCTCCCCAGGGCTGGGATTATAACTGTGCACCACAAAGGCCTCTGAGGACTGGCCCTCACCCACTCGCAGGGAGGCCGTGTAGGCACAGGGAGACATTTCTCCACTGATGGGGCCTGGAGGACCGGGGTGCACGGCCCCACCCAATAAGGGACCTCTAAAGGAGGCCCTGGCACTGTCACAGCAGGCTGGAGGGACTGAGCTGGGTGAGGACCTTGCACCTGGAGTGACCTGACCCTCAGGCTCCCTAACAATGAAGAGGGTGGCAGGGGGGACAGCGTCAGTGACAGCGAGGGGACTTAAAAGGAGAGGAAGAACAAACCTCGGCCGCAGGAGCCCAGGAGGCCGGGGGAGCCCTGAGCAGCTCCTCTGGGATCCCAGCCAGTGTCTGGCAGAGTTCAGAAGGGACCTGACAAAGTGTGCCAGGCACGGGCCTCGCCTACAGCCAGAGGAAATTGGCACAGCTGCCATTCACACTAGGGAAACTGAGGCAGGGGAGCCACCTGGCCAGAGATGAGTGGTCAGCCGGGTGGAGCCAGGATCTACACCCTCATCTGCGCTTAGCCCACTGTGCCTGCTCCCCGGCTCAGCAAGCAGCTCCCCACCGAGGGGCTGAAGCCCCAAACTGCTGCAGAACGTGGCTGGATTTGAACACAGGGCCTTTGAGAAAACTCAGGTATGGAGGAGCTCGGGGCTTGGCCCACAGAGGGGCGAGACAGGAGACGGCCGCGCTGGCTCTGCGGTGTTAGCCCGCAGTGCCGGGAGGAGGAGCAGGCAGCCAGCGGGAGAGGGCCTCACCCATGATCTTGGCCGCAGTGGACGCGCCGATGATGATGGACAGGTTGGGGGCAATGAAGGACATGCGGGACTCCACGTACTCGTAGATGCGGTGCTTGGAGGCGTTCAGCTCCAGCGCCATGTCGCAGGCCTCCTCCAGCCGCTCCAGCTCCTCCTCCGAGAGCTGCTGCCTGTGGAGGGACCCGGACTGCTGGGCGCCCCATCGGCCCAGGCCCACGCCCCGTGCGC